GATTTCCTGGCTGCTGTTACCAAGAGCAAGAGTGTTGACTGTGGAAGCAAGTTAACTAAAACTGTTAACTATCTCAGTCTCTTCACCATCCATACTGATGCTACCAATTGGCCCAGTGGTTAGAATCTTTGTTTTCTTGATGTTGAGCTTCAGTCCATATAGGAGGCTGTAGTCCTTGACCTTCTGCAGCAAGCGCTTCACGTCCTCCTCAGTTTCAGCAAGCAGGGTTGCGTCATCTGCATAACAACCTGCGGGTTGATGATTCTTCCACCAGTCCTGATGCCACATTCCTCCTCGTACAACCCAGCGTCTCAGGTGATCTGTTCTGTATACATATTGAAAAGGTATGGAGACAGAAAACATCCCTGACGAAACCCCCTTCTTGATTTTGAACCATGTAGTGTCTCCTTGCTGTTCTGACAACTGCCTCTTGGTCCAAGTATAAGTTTCGCATTAGCACAATCAAATGTTCTGGGATTCCCATTCTTCTCAGAGTCAGCCACAGCTTATTGTGATCCACACAGTCAAGAGCCTTTGCATAGTCAATGAAGCACAGATAGACATTCTGGTATTCTTTGCTTTCGACTAAGATCCATCTAACATTAGCTGTAATATCCCTAGTACCACGACCTCTTCTAAATGCAGCGTGCACATCTGGCAGTTCTCTGTTGACATATTGTTCCAAACGTTTTTGGATAATTTTCAGCAGGATCTTGCTTGCATGTGATATCAATTATATTGTTCGATAATTTCCACACTCTGTTGGGTCACCTTTCTTTGGAATGGGAACAAATATCACTAAGCTTACCTAGTTATTAATTTTTATGCATCTCTCTTTCTCCCCTTTCCCATCCTGTTAACCTGCCAAGGTTGATTCTATATGTATTTTGTTCGTTTTTTGTAATAATGGCCTTATACTATTAATTTTCCTTTTGTGATTGGCTATGACAGTCAGCATGATTTGTTCAAGATTCATCTGTGTTGTGCACTATTTCACTAATTGTTCAGTGATTTTCAATAGCACATAATACTTCAGTGTGTAATTACACTATGGTTTCTTTATCATTCATCCGTTGATAGATACTTGGGTAGTTTCCAACTCTCTGACATAGTAAATAATACTTGGGTATGTCAGTTTATTGAAGCTCTTATTTCTTTGATATATTTACTATATACCTAGCAATGGGACTACTGGGTTAAATAATATTTCCTATTTCCAAGTTTTTAAGGAATTGCAAAACTGCTCTTCCTTGTAGTTACACCATTCTACATTTATATATATATATATGTATCTATATATGTATCTATATATGTATCTATATATATATATATGTATATATATAAAATCAGTTTTCATTTCCTTTGTTTTCCTATAGAAAATAGCAAAGAACCCATTGAAAATCTCAAAAATCCTGATAATACTGTTAACATGCAAACTTTACTACAACATTCAGAAGAATGTCAGGTGAGTCAGACGTTAATGCATAAAGTTATTAAATTTCTGACTAGAATTTAAACTATCCTTTTGTGTTTTTATCCAATTTTTGCCTAGTATTTAAATTATCCTGTGTGTTTTTATTCACTATTGTTCGATACATAGTAGTATCTCTTCAAAGTGGATAATAGAATATGACCTTGACATGCAAGATTTTTTTCCTTCACTAAAGCATTGCTATTGCCAGAATGTTTAATAATTTAAGGAAAATTAATTTTTGTTTCATGAACTACTTTGGTAAATTAAACTAACCTCAAAACTAAAAAATTCATTGTCATCAAGTTGGAACCAACTGAAAGCTGACTCTATAGCCATTTTATAGAGGCTCTGAATTTCACACAAGGAGATTGCCTGTCTTTCTTCTTCAGAAAACTGGTGCTCCTGTGTGTTAGTGCCACCTCTGAGTAAACAGCACCACTCCCTTCTGACTAGGTTCCCCAAAGCTCCCTAACCTAACCCAGAGTTGTGAAATTATCTTTTATTCTCAAGGTTCAATCCTGCTAATAGTATATTATGCTTTTATGTGTATTACTGTGCTGCCAACACAAAGGGTCATGGTTTGGACCCATCAGCTGATCTATGGGAGAAAGATGGGCAGTGTCCGCCTGTGTGGTTTACTGCTCTGTCGGTTCCAACTGTCCAGTATACAAACAGCAGTTGGTGTTCTTGGAATTTTTACTACACACTGAGTTTGCAGGTAGATTATAACTATAACTATTGAAAGAATTTTTTTAGGAGGGATTCATTTTTCCAAATTTTGCAGTTGTTTTCTCAGAGTAATTAATCATGTAGACATTGGTGTATATGACTTACAGTGTATTAGTTTACTAATACCATCTTGTCTTTCTTCTTTTCATATGCTCATTGGTGCAAGTTGTTGGGCCCCAATGACTTTATACTGTATAAGGATTGGGTTAAAACAGAACTGAGAGTGCATTTTAATATTTGATGTTTCACTTGTATACTGTTAGGCTCAATAGTGTGAAATCCAAAATACCTGACATAGTAAGGCTTTTGGGGTTCATGCTTTCTCTTTTTTTGTGTGTGCTCTGTCAATTTTAACAGCATTCCACTGGGGAGGTTCAGTGTTTAAGAGAAGAACTAATGAAGCCATATACAGAGAAAAATTCAACAGAGAATAAAAAGTAAGGAGAAAATTAGTATAGAAAAGTCTGTAATTAGTTTATTTACCTCAGTAAAGTTTTCTGCTATTTTCATGTTTTACAGTGCATATTTAGTGATGTGATTGTTTTTCCAGTGACATTATAACTTCTATTTATGGCAGTTGTAAATAATGATTTACTGATACCTGAAATGCATTTTATCCTCCAGTCACTGTCCATTTATCAAAATAAAGTATAGCTGTAATACAACAAATTTTTTTCAGCTGCTAATTAAGGAATCCTCTTTCCAGTTTTATTCAATTAGAAGACCAGTTAGGAGAGATAATATTCAGCCGTTCACTTACACTCTTGTGGTTTGCTTACTGTGCATGTGACTGTGCTGGGTGCCACCTCTGTTGCTTTGGGGACAGCAGAAGGCAGCTGTCCTTTTTTATATTTGGACATGATTTTTAGAATTTTACAGTTACTTTGCACAAGAAGGGTAGCATAGTTGGATTTCATATCTCAGTACCAAATTTTGTTGTGTTCTTAAGTAGTTTTTTAAAAGGGTACATTTAATATTGTTTGCCTTCACAAGGACTTTACAGGTTCTGTGAGGAAAAGCTAAGCTTTATAATTTTGAATGTGACAGTGGGCCCTTTAATGGTCTTGACCAAATGTCTGCCTGATCTATAAGTGAGACTTGAAGTCCCAGCTAACCTCTTACCCTCTCAGTTTGGTTTCTGTTTTCTGTTGCTGAGCAGTCAGTAGTGTTTATGTTAGTTGTGATCACATAGAGTATCAACATACTTATGTTAAGACAAACAAGCTTTTGTTTGAGTCTATTACTAATTGCTATGGAGACAAATGTAAACAGATTATAATTATGAGCTAAGCATTACAGAGAATTAGCAGATGTTTAAGACTTTTAGATGGTTGAGAAGTAGAATACCTGAACCTTAGGTAATTTGAAGACTATCTTGCTGTTTGATCACTTATTATTCTTTGCTTAAAGGATGTCTGAAGCCCTTTCAAGTTCAGAATGTACCATTCCTCATTCATTCTGTATAGATATAAAATCAGAAATTTCTAGGTAAGAATTTTTGCTTACTGTGCCATTCATTTTTAAAGGAGTTCTAGGGGCATAGTGTGTTTCTTGTTGGACAGTTGCAGAGGTAAAGCAGCCTGATAAAGGAGGGTACGATAATAAACTTTCCCTTCAGAAAAGTTCTACATGATTATTACTATTATTTATTTCCTTACTAAATAAGTAAAGCCCAATGAGTTCTTAAGTTATCAGTTCTAATGCCTTTTGTGTGTGTGTGAACTTACTGAATAAAGTTTCATTATTGAGTCCATTTGTTGTTCCATGAAAGGAATATCTTGCGAGAGAATGAGTGTTAACCAAATTAAACCTGAATGCAATTTAATAAAGCCTTGTAGTTTTAGAAACATGACAAGTCATTTGGCTGTGATAATTGCCTGCCCCATTAATTAGAAATTATTTGCTTAGAAAAAATAAGCAATTTGCTTAGAAAGCAGAGAACCTACTGTGTTCAAGCAATCTATCCCTACTCCTGCCTAAATCAACAAAATAAAAAACACCTTGCTTGATCATTTTTCTTACTAGGTTTTGTCTTATGTGTCAACTCTGTGGTTTGTTTAGAAACACTTTTGTTTTACACTTTTGGGTCATCAGTAGTACTTTGCTCACCCAGTCCCAGAATTAAACCTTTTTACCCATTCATTTTATCTGTATTATGGAACATACATGTTTTGGTGTAAAAAAAAAATCCATTTCATGTTAAATTACATACTCTATAAGCTAATCAGATTGATTATGCAGGGTTCCAACTCAGATATCTACAAGGACTAGGCAGATGAACCAAATGTCTGACCTGTTTTGAGCATAACACCATTGATCATGTGACTTGACAGTACATGGCCCTTTGAAGGACATTCAGATGAAAACTTGTGTTGACTGACACATGTGTCTCATCGCCTGTTGAATCATGTTAGGTAAAGAGATCAGCAGTAGTAGGGTTTATGTTTTGTGTAAGACACTAGGAAAAAATCTTATTGCTGTCAAGTGAGAATCTACTCAGAACAGACCCTCCAGTGAGTTTTCAGAGGCCATCTTTCTCCGAAGGAGCTGCTGGTGGGTTAGTGAGGTTCCACCTTGGGGTTAGTGTAACTCCCTATCCATTATGCCACCAGAGCTCCCTATCAAAATGATTTTTAAATCAGAAGAGAAAATGTGTGTACAAAATATACATCTATATTGTTTAGACATACACAATTGTATACAGTTTGGTTTTCTGTCAATCAGTGTTTTTTCACATTTCTTTACATCCACCTAGCACACAGGTTTCTGCATTTAAAGATGCATCTACCTCTGTTCCACCTTTACTCTCAAATGGAGTCAATGCTGCTTCACAAACACCTGTTTTGTCACCTCGGAAGACCCAGAGAAATGAAACCACAGCTCAACTGCCAGATTCTTCGGATTCTATCAGGCAGATGCTCCAAGATGAAATGTTTAAGTTGGTTCAGGTGAGCATATCTGTATATAAACAAACAAGTCTGCACAGATTCACTACTTAAAAATGTCCAGATGATTTCCATGTGTAAACCCACTTGGGAACCATGAGCATGCACACTGGCTTAGCTAGAACAGAAAATGTTCAGCAAGGGTAATGGGAAGATGGTTAGTGCCAGCCTCAAAGCTTACCCATTCATCAGAATCACCAAGACGACTTGTGAACCACTCTTTACTGAGTCCCATCCTCAGAGGCCAAGTGTTTACAGCCAGAATGTTCCTTAGATGCCAGGATGGCACTCCTTCATGTTACGTGTGTTGGACGTGCTATGAGAAGGCGCTGAGTCCCAAACGACTCGACGACACATAACAACAACAACAATGAGAAGGCGCCAGTCTCTAGAAAAAGGAATTTTTCTTAGAATAATAGACAATGAGTAGAAAGGAGAAAAACTTTTAACAGGATAGGTTAACACAGTGGGTGCATTGGACTACAGCATATAAGGATTATGAGCATGGCACAGAAGCAGACACTGCTTTGTTATGGTGTCTGCAGGGTCACTGTGAGTCAGAAGCTTCTTAGCAAAGTCAGACAATAGCTGGTGTTCTATTTGTATATATTTTTGGGTTATTTCACTTAGTGTAATGTTTTCTTGTGGTGGCATGTCTTCTATTGTCTCTTGCTTCAGAATTTACTACATATATATATATATATATATATACTTTCTAGGACATCTTTCTTTCAGATACTGCTTTAATTTTAAAATACCCAGTAAATTTTAGGTACAAAATTACTCTCTTCTGTCAAAACTGTTTTAAAAATACATTGAGTGAAATATACCAGTGTCAGTACTAGTTATCTCTGGCAGTAGAAATATGAATTTGTTTTTTAAATTTTTTATATTTCTGTGCTTAATATTTCCCTACTGGTTAGCGTTAGCAAGTGTAGATTCTTCTGTTGGTCTTTCTTTCAATTCTCTGTATATGTGAATAAGTTTAGTGATTCTCAGTGAGTGATCCCTGGACCAGTAGCAGCAGCAGCATTTACATATTATTGTTGTTGTTATTATGTGCCATCGAGTCACCTATGTACAATCCTATGTACAGCAGCTCTGAAACCTGCCGTGTCCTGAGCAGTCTCACTGACTCAGACTCACCTACCCCTATTACTCCTGTTACTATATCAGTCAGTTTCATCTGGGGTCTTCCTCTCCTCCATTGTCCCTCTACCTCTCGGAGCATGATGTCCTTCTCCAAAGACTGATCACTCTTGGCCATGTGCCCAGAGTATGTGAGATGGAGCTTCAAAATCCTAGCCTCTAAGGAGAAACTTGGTTTCACCTTACAACTCCAAGGCATGCATGCATTCTTCTGTTATCCTTAGTCATTGTCCAGCAAGTAATCACAAAGACCATGGCCTGGATCAGGCGTTAGAAATAGACAGTTTTTTGGCCCCGTCCAGACTTTCTAAGCTAGACCATCTGAGTTTAGGGCTCAGCAAGTGGAGGTTCAGCAAGTTGTGCAGGTGATGCTGACGATCACTGAGGTTTGAGAATTGAAGTAACCTATGTTCTGACTATCTGAATGTTTTCTGTTCTGGCTAACTCAGTGAGTGCCCTCATGGTTCCCAAGTGTTTCTGTACATTGAGATCACCTGAATATCTTTAAAACTAGTGAGCCTGGCTTCCATCCTGATTTTTTTTGGTCTCAGTTGTGACTGGCCAAGGGATTTTTTAAATGTTCAGGCGGTTCTAATGTGCAGCAAGTTTGAGAGCCATCAGTGCATGCCTTTGCACTTCTTGCAGCCAAGAGAAGTCCTTACTCTTCACCTGTTTGCTGATCTCTGCTCTTTTCCTTCTTGAAATCTGTTAAAAACACTTCATTCTAAGAATAATTATATTACCATCATACTTACCTTACCCTATCCTGAAAGATCCTTCCTTTAAGATATTTATGTTAATTGCTTTATAAATCAAGTCTCATTCATTAATGAGTGTTCATATTCTCTGTTGACAGCTTCTTGAATAAGGAAACTATTCTTTTTTTCTCTCATTCTTTTTTCCTACTAGTCAGAATTCTTTAGCCTAACAAGCACTGAGAACCAAGCTCTTACTCCTGTGGAATACTCCAATGGCTGTTGGTTCTTTAGAGTCTTTTTTAATTATACTTTAAGATTTTTAATTCTTTTTCCCCACCTAGCTGCAGCAGATTAACTTCATGAGCCTAATGCAAGTCGTAGGATCATCTTTTGCCAACCTCCCCAATATTCATCAACTTGTACAACAGTCTCAGTCTCAGTCTGTGCATCTGGTGGGAAGCCAATTATCAAACCCTTTAGGAGGAAGTGGTGATGTTGAAGACACCAGTGGAAATCTTAAGGAGAGATTTTTCATTAAACCACAACCCATGAGAGACTGCACCAGACAGTCTGACAAGAACAGCCTACCCAGCTGTAAAGGAGTGGAATCTTCAGATCAAAAGAGTAATGAAAATGTACAGGTAATGAATATAAAAAATATCGTTAAGGTTGGGCTAGTAGTTGAACTTGTAGCATTTTTCTTACTTGAGTAAATATTTTTTTCAACAGTTAGTCCTTTCTGATCTCCTTCCAGCTGCACACTGAATGTCATTTTTAAAAGAAGGACTTCATATTACATATTTTAAACTTACATTCTATCTTTTATTTCACTTTCAGAATGTTCCTTTATGTCATTTAGAGGGCCAACTCCAGAATAAAGGATTAACTCCAACATCACAAAGCTCACCTATTTTATTATCTCCAGCCCCTGCTGTGAATACTCAGCTCCACCTTTTGTCCACAACTTCAGTCACTCAGAAGACACCTAAACTGATTCCAGTTGCAAAACCTTTCAATTCTGGTAATGGTTTTCCTTTGCTTCAGTTTCAACCAAAGCATGGATTCAAGTCATTTTCCTTACCTCCTGGAAAAGTTCCAGAAGTTCCCTGCAGGCTTCTGCCACAACCACGAGAGGCCTGGGAATTATCTTCCCCTGTCCAGTCTCTTTTGCCTCAGAGAGGAATACATACTCCTTCGGTCTCTCACTTGAATTTGAGCCAGTATGATACTGAAGCCATTAAAAAAACACTTGAGCAGAAAAAATGGGAAGAAGCTGTAAGTAGAGAAATCCCTACACATTTGAACTTGGATCAGTATGTTGCATCAGAAAAGTTTATACCACAACAGGACTCTTCAGTATGTATAAAACCTGAGAAACTGTGTGGGGTTAAGCAAGGGCCCCTTGAGATACCTCCGCAGAATTCCTTTGGACTTCCATTATTGCACCTGCAACTTAAACCTCCCTATATGTTTTCATCTGCCTTGGGAGCATCCGTTCCAGTTCCTTCAGTGCCTGTCAGAACAGCAGTACAAGAAAGAAAATACTCAGGACTATCATTACTTCATTCGTGTCTGCTCACAGGAAATACGGTAATGAGTGTTTTCAAGATGATATTACAAAAATAAACACGGTCCTGTATTTTTCATGTCTTACATGCTGCACAGTAACTGAAAAGTCCTTGCACTTTTCCTTTTGTCAAAAAATACCTCCATCATAGGAGGTGAAATATAAAACCCATTTAAAATTATACTTTTTTTAAAGGTTATTGATTTTTTAATCAGAATTTACTGATCTATTTTTTATTCTTATGCTCAAAAAGAATAAACCAGAAGTGTAATAAAACTCAACATTCTTGGGTGATGCAAATAGTAAGTGCTGGATGCTAATAAAAAAATGATGGCAGTTTGAGTCTACCCAGAGGAGCCTTGGAAGAAAGGCCTGCTGATCTAGTTCCAAAAGATCAGCAACTCTAAGCCCTCTGGGATCAACTCTAGCAAGTAGTTTGGTTTGGGTTTTAAATAAAATTACCTAATGTTTTTTCATCGTATATGTGTATATGCTGTTTTTTCTTTTTCTCTTTACCCTTCTCTCTCTCTCTCTCTCACACACACACACACACACACACACACACACACACACTATTTTTGATTCTTAGCTATTGTGATGTGATTGTATTCAAATCTTTTACAGCTTACATTTTTTTTATAGTCTCAGAAAAGTAGTTGTACATACTGTAAAATAGCAGTTTTTTAAAAAACTTAAACACAGGATTAAATTTTTAGAAGCCTACCACATTCTCTTTAAAGGTTTAATATTGATTTTAACACTGAAATTCCATTGTGTAAGTGAGTGTATGCTTCCTTATGGAGGTAATTCATTCTCTGGTTCAGCTTTCAGTGTTTGAAGTAAGTAGGGCAAAGTTCAGAGTCATTATTCATTTGTTGGCTGTGAGTCCTAGTCCATTCAATGGCACATAACAACAGCAATAGGAGAAAAATGGTTATTCCTTAGAAAAGGTATTTACCATGTTTATTTAATCTTCTGAAATCATGAATAGAAGAAGAAAGGACTGAAACAGTGGGGGTAAAAGAGACATTTTGAGAAGAATTTTAGATGATTAAAATGATATGATAAACTTCTAGGTTACATGATCCAGCTTCAGCAGTTACCTGCACATTTCTAATCTGTTATCCTCCTGCCTCCTCCCCCTTCCAAATAAGTTTAAATCAAATATTGTAACATTGTTTAATTTGTAATTGTAAGAAGGAAAGTTTTCAATCTGAGAAATAAATTACTACTAGGACTCCAGGCTTGATTTCTGCAATGGGATGACCCAGCTGAAGCTTTCCCATCCTGAAATCACTAATTATTTTGCTATCTGTACCCTGCCATTCCCAGTCTGAATCACTTTGTTCTATCTCTTACACATTTTGTTTAATAAAATTGCTTTCTTGTTTTTATTAATGTATATAATCCGTTTGTAATTTTTGACTATTAAACTTGGTTTCTTTTTTTTTTTGTAGTATAATAAACCACAGCTCATCCCACTTGAAAACCTCATTGCATTTAAACAAAACCAGCAAAGACTGACACCTCACTTACTTGAACAAGGTGATCCTGGACAAATTCAGCTTCTAAATGTCAAACTAGATCCGTCTAAAATAAGACAAGAAAAGGCCAGTAAAAAAAGGCAAGTTTGAAAGTGTGATTTTATTACATACCAGCAGTCCCAGGGTTACAGATAAGATCTATTCCTAGGTATGTCATTAAATTTGTAGGTGAGTTGAAACAGGTGCACATACAGCTCTTGTTTTGGCTTCCTTTAGTCCAACAAAGGAACCCTGATGACATGGTGAGTTAAGTGTTGGCCTGCTAACCAAAATATCAGAATTTCTAACCCAGTAGCTGCTCCAAGGAGCAAGATGGGCAGTTTGTTCCTGTTAAGATCAGCTTTAGAAACCTGACGGGCAGTTCTTTTCTTTCCTATTAGATCACTGTGGGTCACACTTGACTCAATGGCAGTGATTTTGGCTTTAGTTTAGGGCAAGAAAGGAACTCTGGTAGTATAGAGGTTAAAGCATTTTCCTGCTAAACAGAAGGTTGGCTGTTAAGACCCACTGGCTGATACAAAGATGAAAGATAAGACAGTTTGTTTCTATAAAGATTTACAGTCTTTAAAAAAAACCAAAAATTACAGTCTTGGAAATCTTATGGGAAGTTCTACTCTGTTCAGTAGATTCGCTGTGAGTCAAATTGACTCTGACAGTGGGCTTTGTGCAAGAAAGGGCTCAAAGCATTTTTAATAGTTTCAGAATACCCCTGCCACAAATGATTGTGATGTTGAATTTGTTGTGAATAGAGTTTGTTTCAGTGCTTTCAAAGTGAAGGCAAAATACTTCACATTAAAGGATAAATATGCGTTACCCAAGTTGTTCTCATAGCTAGTTAAAATCATGTCGTCATAAAGATGGAAGTCACATGATCCAGCCTCCCACCTCTTACTCGATTGTGTATTCACTTTCTTTGTCAAGTGTCATAATTTTGGCACATTTTTGTAATGAGGAAAATTCTCATAAGGCAAATGCTAGGGTTTTTTTTTTCTATTGCATTGCCATTTGTACAGTTACTTGTTTTTCTCAAACAAGATGATCAGCCATCTTTTGCAGCACAAGTATTTAGTATCTCAAGCTGTACTCCCATGTGTTTTCCAGTTTATTTAAATCATAATCATTTTATCATATTCTCCAGAGTCATAATAAACAGGAGGCTAGTGATGAAAATGGTTTCAGAACACTGACAATTGGTATGTAAAAAGCAAGGCTGTCTTTCCCGTTATACCAGAAGAACATTACCAGACATTTTGATGGAAGAGTCTGTAGAAGATTTCTGATCAAAGGAGAGAAATTACAGAACAGAATTTTATATCCTCATAGACTCCAGACTTTTTTGAAGCCGCTGAGGCAAGATGAACTCCCAATACTATTGTCCTAACATAATCTTTCAACTTTAAGCCAAAAATAGGCCCTGAAGGATTCTTAGAACAAAATAATAGTTTCAATTACTAGAAAAGAGTATCTACCTTGAGAATTGTGCTGTTAAAAAATCTATAGTCAGATCAAATTGACAACAGTTAACTCAACAAAGTATAGGAGACAGTGAATTTATGTTAGTGGAGGAAGAACAGTTGCTTACAAAATTTAAAGAATGTGATCAGTGTCACTGTACATGTAGAAATGGTGGATGAGCTGTATATATTGTAAATAACAATAAAAAAATTTAAAAAGATAATATAGTGGCTTTTTTATAATCAGTATTCAATGCATATATTGACTTAAAGGTTATTTCTGAGTTTTGAAAATATTTTTAAATCTTTTATCAGACCTTAAAATTCATTGTACTGTTTTCTTTCCAGAAATCATTCCTTCTGTCTGGTCTATATATTTCTTCTTCAAGTGAAGTCTTCCCTTATGAATATGATTAAGAATATGATTGTTCTTAACAGGCAAAAAAGAAGAGCTGAGAAAGAGCTGCAAGAAAAAAGTTCAGAGAAACCAAAGGAAAAACCCAGTGTGTCTTTCCAACCGGAGGAAGCTGCCATTAAAGAGAATGATTTAGAGATTGTCCCCAAACCCAAGGTATGTCCCCAAACTGTTCCAGAAACTCCCCATTTTAGTGTGTCTTTGGAATTGATCTACTTTTCTGGTTATTAGAGGTACTCTTACTGTGACCAGAAAACTTATTAACTATCTAAATCCCTGCTACTTCTCTATGGTAATGGATGTTTAATTGCAAATGTGAGAGGTCACTTGGTGACAAATTAACAATTATGATTTAGACTAACGGTGTGACTTTGTATTCAGAATAATTCTTGTTCCTGTCTGTGCCACCATCTTATACATATGGTATGCTATTTGGGCTCTCATTGTCATTGTACTTCTTTCTTCGTGGTTACCTCTAGGACCTCCCAAAGTGAGTATTGTTCCATAACCTGTATTTTAAATAAAACCCTTTCAAACATTTTAAATTTGATAGCAGTCTGTTTAACTATCTTTATGACAGATTTTTAGGTTTTTTTTTATGTGGTCTTTCAAAAAGCCCCTTTTACAAAATGTAATTCTTTAAGACCATGTCTACTAGGTCCATAGCAAAAATATTTATTTGGTGAGAGATTTTGGTAGACTTGCACTCTGGTGACCGAGAGTAAGGAACTGTGCTGCCTACCCAGGCATGTAGTTTGAATCTGTCAGCTGCCCTGTGGGAGGAATGCTATTTATAGCCTCTAAAAACTTGCTGAAGATTCAGCTGTGAGTTAGTTCTGACTCGATGGCACATAACAACAAAAATTGAGTTTGAAAACTGCTTTTCAGGGGAAAACGATACCAAGAACTTGGTTATTTTACATTACATTGTTTACTTATTAATTCAAAGAACTCTTCTGTAAACTTACGTAGAATAAGTAGAAGTTAATTCCTTTTACTTCCAGAATGATAGAACTGAGCTTTTACTTGTTGTTGTGCTGTGAAGTTTGAACTGACTCATAGCTGACCCTCCATCGAGTTTTTAGAGGCTGTAAATTGCTTGGAAGAGAGGACCCATCTTTTTCCTTTGAAGCAGTTAGTGGAATCACACCAAATGGTTGACACTTCAACGACTTACCTCTAGGCCACCAGTGCACCCTGAGTTTTTGCCTAAGTGAAAGTCTTTATCCCTATTAAATATTACTATTGAACATTTCTTTTCCTAAATAATAATTATAAATTAATAATCTGGGGATTCATTTAGGAGCAGCAAGAACATTCCTGTTCCCAGCCTTTGGATGGCTTTGAAATTCCTTTTGGTATGTACATGCATGGTTACTATCATGTCTGAGTAAAAGTCAAACCAATTTTCTAGAAATGTACACAGTAGAATATGAGAGTAAATTATTTGCATGTTCTCTTTGACAAGATTGTGCGTGTGCATGTTATCTATTAGAACAGCAGTTGGCAAACTATGGCCTGCAGGCCAGATCGAGCCCTCTCCTCTTTTTATAAATTGAGTTTTACTGAAACGCAGTCATGCCCATGTTTCTGCACATTTCTCTGTGGTCACTTTCAGGCAGCCATTGTGGCATTATGAAAGAGACCATACAGCTCACACAGCCTTTACTCTCCGTCCTTTTACCAAAAAGTTTGTTAGCCTATACAATAGCATGTTTTAATCAATTAGAATGTATAGAAAATACATGGGTGTCAAAAACTGAGGAATCAGTTCAGAATAGGAAACTTATTTACAGCTAAGACATTTTCTTTCTTGATGTCTTTAGTGCCCCCTTAATGTATGCATGTCCAAATCCTCTCTCCTCAGTAATTCTTCCTTTCTGACTCTGACCACAGAGCCGTTTCCGCTCATAACCTCAGCTCCTATGTTGTCTTGATGACCCTTAAATACAAGGTACAATGACTGTCCTGTTTTCCCTCCTATTCGTGCTCTACTTTGAGTTTAATGTGTCTACATTTAAAATTAGCAGCTTCCTGTTAGTGCTTTTACTATTCTCCGTATTGACCACCTTACACCTTGAAGGTAACTCTTGATTTGCCCCTCCCCTCTGTTGCCTCCTTGACGCACAGAGTCCTTGAGCTGTTTCCTCTCTTGGCGCCCTGTCCAGCATCAGGCCTCTGCAGGTCCGTCCACACCGAACATGCATTGCCTATCTGATTGCTGGGCTTCCTAATCCTTATGATGTTCTTCTTTTCCACCTATTTGTTTTAAAATCTCTTTCTTTTCACTCTGAGTAATATTTTGTCTTTTGTAGAGATAATAGATGATGTGGAAGAGTATGTGAAGAATATGTGAAGAGACAGAATCTCCCACAATTTTTCTGTCTAGAAAATAACCAGTGCTAATATTTTCCAGGCTTTATTTCATGAATATGCCTTCATAGGTGTATTTGTGTAGGAATATTCATGAAACAGCAGCTTCTGTGCCCATTTATAACTTAATTAATTCTTAATACCACTATTAAGGTAGATATTGTCTCATGTCACCAGAAAATCCTTGTATAATGTTATTTTAAAGGACTGCAAAATATCCTAAAGAGCATGCCATACTCCTATAAGTGTACCTACTCTGACTGGCTGATCTCCAGGGAACATCACATCTAAACTCCAGCTTCATAATAGACTTTTGTCTTTGATTCTGCTTCCTGATGAATTTCCGTCTTGGTTAGAAATCACCTCAAGCACAACAGTGTTCAGTGTGAACTCGTTATTAGGTGCCGTGCAGTCAGGTGTGATCCCTGTGTGCACCAGAACAAAACCCTGCCTGCTCCCACCATCTTCAAGTCACCCTGTGCTTGACTCCATTGTCACAGTCACTGGGTCCGTCCAGCTCATTTCAGGTCTTCCTCTTTTTTTTTTTTCCTTTTCAGGTTTTCCTCTTATTTGCTGAGAATTGATAAATTCATTCTCCTCTAAATTAACTTTGTTTTTTGTCTCCTATTTTCTTTCTCTGTGTTGCTTCCAGAATACCCTCATAACACAAGTTATTAGGAATTGTTCCCTCTCACTATCTCCCCTTCTCTTCTATTTAATAAATACTTCTTGCCTATTTTGCTTTCTTTGAAATTCTTAGGTTTTTTTCTTCTCTCATTCATTTCTCATGCTGCAATTTTTTTCCACTCCAGTGTGTGTCTATAAAGTGACTGGGTATGAATTTTCTATATTACCAATCTTACTGTATCATTTCCCTATTTTAACAACTTGCAGTGGATTTTCATTAACCAGAAGAGAATCTGGATTTCTAGATTGGGCTTCTGGAATCTTCCATAATTTTTGATTCCTCTGAACTGTCTTTGAAATTTAACTTAGCTCTCACTTCCATCATCAAGACCATTTTAATAATCCTTTAACACCCTGTACTTGACCTTCCTTGACTCAGGTGGCCTCCAGTGGTATGCTGATTTCTCATTGACCTCTCACTGTTTTGTTGTTCTATTTAAGAAACGCTCTACAGTGACATTACTTCAGCTGGATTGCATTTCATGGCTTCTGTAATGAAGAAAGCTATAGCAAGTCAGGATGCAAGTACAAATACAGACCCAGGTAAGAGGTCTGCTTTTGTTTCATTTTTTTACAGTTGCACTTTTTTTAAGATATAGAGACTTTCTCCTTTAAAGCAGTGGTTTGAAGGATTTTTAAAATATATTAGTTACTTATCCTAGATTCTTGTTCTCAATCCTAGAGTATACTTTGGAAATTTAAAATTTTCAGTGAAGTTTAGTGATACGTAAAACAGAATGGATTATTTTGTTCTTATTGTTTAAAAATATCACAAAATACATCCAAGCCAGATGAAAATAATGTTTTGAATTTGATCCTCTATGCCGTTGATGGCTAGCACTGGAGCTGTGGTTTGTAACGTTGAGTTTAGGAAGAGGAGTAGATTAGGTTCATTGTATGTAACTACTCGAAAGGAGAGCTTTAGAGGGTCTGTTAGTTGTGATTTTTTTCTGACCTACCTCTTCGTAAGTCATTATCAGACATTGAGCAGCAACTTGAATCTTACTCAGTCCTATTGTGTTACCATGATTCTTTGCTACGGTTTTTCATAAACAATTTCTCTGAATTATTGTGGGGCATTACAAGTGATCTGTAAAACCCCTCTAATGATACCATGTAGGAAGCTCTGGCCATCTAGTGGGTAAGGAGTTGCTTTGCCAGCCCAAAGGCACTCAGTTCAAGCTCACAGGCTGCTCCATGCACGATGAGCAGTCTCCTATGTGATTCACATCCTTGGAAAACACACCAGAGGGAGAGCTATCAGTGAGTTCTGCTTCCTTAACATTGACTTCAACAGAAAGATACTGTGGTATTAATCATATTTATTGGTATAGTTGTTTTTTAAAAAATAATATTTAATCATTGTAATTTAGTCATAAAGCATATGAAGACAATGAAAATTGGCCATGAATATACTTTTAAAAGAGAGCTCTGGCAACTTCATGGTGAGCACTCATGTTGCCAACTCAAAGGCATGTAGTTTAAATCTACCAGCTGCTCACAGGAGAAAGTTGAGCAATCTCCTTCTGTGCATTTTACAGCCTCTGGAAACCCACTGGAGGGTCAGTTAAGTTGATCCCAACTTCGCACAACAACAACATACCTTTGAAAGTGTGGGGATTTTTTAAAGTATTTTTAAATGGTTTATATGATTAGATATGATAAATCATGCATATGTCCCTTGCGATCTGAATTCTCACTGTCCAGTTATTATTGCCATAGCCCTGGGATATTGTTAAGACTTGAACTCTTCATGGGTCCTAGTGCTGTGTGTTGTGTTTTTTTTCTGGTTGTGTTGGGACACTCTCAGAATAGGTCTTTAATATATTTCATAGTTTCTTTTTTTTGTGTGTGTGTGTGTGTGTGTGTACCGTCAAATCAGATCTGACTAGTACAGGAGGAGATTGTCCCTCTTTCTCTAGCAGAGCATCTGCTGGTTTCAAACGAGGCACCTCTGGGATTGCAGTGCAGCTTTTTGCCACTAGGCCAACAGAGCTCGCCAATATCATGGTTTCTTTACAATAGAGTATATGTGACCTAGGTGAATCTTACCTAGTATTGTTCAGTGTTGTGTGTTGCACACAGACGGAAGAGGTAAAGGAATGTTAGTTAAGAAGTCCTGCTTGATCCCGAGTGCTTTATGATTTTTGGGAAATGGGTAAACTGGGACATTTTTACATCTTCCATTTTACAATGATGCATTAATGTCTCTTGGTATCCGAAAATCCATTATCCTGCACAGTTTCAGGAATGGATTAAATTTATATAACAAAGACATCCCCGAATATCATGAAAACAGTCCTTTTGTATCCAAATATTTTCTATCCTTTACTTTTCATTTTTATTTCTATTTATGCAAAGCATTTTCCTGTGTCCTCAGAGGGTAATTTATGAACAAACTGCTTCTACTCATCGTCCTATAAAATACTTAATCCAGTTCTTGTTGCTGAACAGAGTACATGTATTAGGTTTTTTCTTCTGTAAAAAAATGCTTCAGTGAGCATTTCCTATAGAAAAGCATTTTCTTTTCATCACTATGTTTTAGATAACATGGTCTTTTTCCCAATGGGATATGTTAGGAAATGACTTTTCACTGTTGTTTTCATTTGTGTTTCTTTCTTAAAGAGTTTGAGCATATAGAAGGATTTTTTTTATGTAACTGATGAGTGTGCATGAAATAAACATTGCTAAACTTTCTTTTTCTGAGCATGTCTCCAAGAAAACTTTTGAAGGCCTTTGCCTTTGCTGTTGTCCTGTTTTCTAATTCTCTTATTCATTGAGGTGATCGGTGCCAGTGTTAAAACAGAAGTACAATAGCAAGTTAACATATTAGTTATTTAAAAATTAAATTAAAATTTTCTACCACATTTCATGTTCAAAAACTAGTTATTTGTACTCATACTTAACTTTTTCTTGTATTTATGGTATTTTTGCTTTCTGTTCTCTCTTTTTTTTGCCTCAACTCTAATTTAGTGCAAGACAAGGAAGCTCCTTCTCAAGAAGTGATTTCTGAGTGTGTTAAAGATCCTGTCATTTCTTCTACATCAGGTATGATTCCCCACCCTGAGATCAGCTTGACCTATTCAAGATCTTATCTACATGGTGACAGAACAACTTCCTATAAACCCCCCCAAAATAGTAAAGCCAGTTAATTGGTTTAATGGAGGTGGAATGATCATTTACATTTTTTCACTTTCCTTTTCTCATATGAGTTTTCATTTGCATATGAAAAGTAAAGAGAATATCTTACTAAACAAAATTCAAGGGATAGAATTAGAGCCCTAAGACAAGTGGTAATTAAACAATCTGCGGACCTCCTATAACATTTTTTTTGCTTTTTAATGCACATCTTAAGACTTGAAAAATGTGGCTTTAAAGCTTTTAAATGTGATCCACCAGCAACAAGGCAGGCGGCTCACAGAAATGTGCACAGTTCCCTTTTCTTTTTTACGGTTTTATACTATCTCTGTTTAAAGTCATATGAATATGTGTGTGTGTTATTAAAACTGTTTTTTCTCAGTTTGAACAAAAAAAAAGCTTTTAAATGGCAGTGTTTTCCTATGTTGTTGTTCTTGTTATGTGCCGTCGAGTCGTTTGCAACTCATAGCGACCCTATGTACAGTAGCCCTAAACTCTGCTCTATCCTGTGCCAATCGCATTGCCTCTGACACACCCATCCCGAGTACCCCAGTCACTGAATCAATCCACCTCATAGAGGGCCTTCCCCTCCTGCGCTGTCCCTCCACCCTACCAAGCATGATGTCCCTCTCCAAGGACCTGTCTCTCCTTACAACATGTCTAAAGTATGTCAGATGAAGCCGCAGAATCCTTGCCTCCAAAGAGTAGCTTGGTTTAACCCTCTCCACGATGAATCTGTTTGTTTTCTTGGCAGTCCATGGTACATTCAATACTCTTCTCCAGCACCACAGCTCAAAGGCATCAATTCTCTTTCTATCCCCCCTAGTCATTGTCCAACTCTCTGATGCATAACAAGCGATTGCAAAGACCATGGCCTGTATCAGGTGCACCTTAGTCTCCAGAGAGACACCGTTGCTCCTGAGTACTTTAGAGAGGTCCCTAACCGCAGACTTTCCCATCGCAATACGCTTTTTGATTTCCTGACTGCTGGTGCCAAGAGTGTTGACTGTGGAGCCGAGCAAACTGAAGCTGTGAACAATCTCAATCTCTTCGCCATCCATCCTGATGCTACCAATTGGTCCAGTGGTGAGAATCTTTGTCTTCTTGACATTGAGCCTCAATCCATACTGAAGGCTGCAGTCCTTGACCCTCTGCAGCAAGTGCATGAGGTCCTCCTCAGTTTCAGCAAGCAGGGTTGTGTCATCTGCATAACTCAGATTGTTAATAGATCTTCCACCAATCCCGACGCCACACTTCTCCTCATAGAGCCCAGCCTCTCGGATAATCTGCTCTGCATACAGGTTGCAAAGGTACGGAGATAGGACACATCCCTGGCATACACCCTTCCCCATTTTGAACCATGCAGTGTTACCCTGCTCTGTTCTGACTACTGCCTCTTGGTCCAAGTATAGGTTTCTCATTAGCACAATTAAATGTTCTGGGATTCCCATTCTTCTCAGAGTCAGCCACAGTTTGTTATGATCCACACAGTCAAATGCCTTTGCATAATCAGTGAAACACAGATAGACATTCTTCTGGTATTACCTGCTTTCAGCTAAGATCCATCTAACATCAGCTACAATATCCCTAGTACCGTGACCCCTTCTAAACCCAGCCTGGACTCTAAATATATATAAAGAACCCTACTGAATTGTGTCCTTTTAAAGGTGTGAGTTAAATCTCAATAAATTTATTAGTGAAAAGTAATGAAAATGGGAGGGGAAAGTTATAGGTTGATATATTAAAATTTCTCTATTGATGTTCTTCTAAATAGACAACATGAATTAGAATTTCTGAAATAGAAATAGAAAGTTGTACATTTTCTAGATATTACTTAGATTTTTTTCTTATGGATTTTTCATGCAAGAAAAGCATTATCTAAGAATAGCTAGAGTACTTATCTAAGCATAATTAAAAGTCTCATCTAAGAGTAATTAGAGTACTTCATTCTGGAGAAAATGGTCCTTAGAGTTTATTTTATTTGTTCTTGTGAAACTTCTGCTTAGATGTTCAGTATTTATATTGGTTCTGGTATAGTTAGTGACTTTGAGCCATATACAGGTAATGAATTCCTGATTTGTATTTTCTCAATTTTCAGAATGTGAGCATTTAGATATTCCTCAGATCTTGACTCAAGATGGAGGTCTAAGTTTCGAGCTTCCCACTGAAGAATCCAAGAAACCTTTTTCAGCTTCAAAGGAAGAATGTTTGGTTTGTATTTAATCTAATAATGCATATCTGCGAATATATATTTTTGTGGTTATCTCAATTTTATTATATAGATGAATTAAGGGTGCTCTGGTGGCCTAGTAGGTAAAAGTTACATGGCCAATCCAAAGAGAGGGAATTCTAACCCCCCAAGCCGCTCTCTCTGTGGGTGAAGGATGGGCATTCTCCTCCCATGTGATTATCCACCTCTGAAAACCTGCTAGAGGGTCAGCTTTGAGTCAGTTCTGACTCAGCAGTACATAACAACAACACAGATGAATTGAGGGAGCTCTGACGGCCTAACGGATATAGAGTAACAGTACCAACCCAAAGAAAGATACTTCAAACACACTAACTGCGCTGCAGGAGAAAGGTGGACAGTCTCTTCTCATGCAGTTCATAGCCTCTGAAAACCAAGTGGAGGATCAGCCCTGAACTAGTTCTGACTTGATGGTGTGCAACAACAGATGAATTGAGGGAAATAAGAAAAAAATCCAGTCTGTGCCATTTTGAGCTCAAAATACTAAGTGTAATGCCCTCAGATAATATAAACCAAGACCATATAAACATTTCCCACAATTAGGCACGTATGAGCCATTTTTATTGATAAGAATGAAATTTTTTTTTCTTTTGGCAGAGCGGCCATACAGAGTAAAAATAGCCTTTTAAAATTTTTGTTCATTTTTGCTAAGGTTGGACACACTTACATTGATGTGATTGACATTGAAGCTGATGACCTTCTGCAGGAATTACCTGCCAGAAAAACGCCTTCAGATGCTGACACTACCCAGCAGCAGAGCCATCACCCGGAAGCTCTGACTTCTGCAGAGTTACATTACAGGGCAGCTTCAGTAACCGGTGTGGTTCCTGTGTGCAATTTTAAGAGTCAAGGTAGTATTTTTATACTTTTAAATAAATAACACTTTGTGAATGTTTGTAATATTTTCTTCTTTTTTTAAAATTAATTTATTTATTTTTCATTTCAATGAACATCTACAGAGATTTTGGAATTCCATTCATTCATTG